CGCCTAATGAAGACGTAACATACATAATAGACCATTTCCTTACTTTTAGTACGTCTACTGCTTCATATAAGTGACTCCTTCGAGTCTCCCCCTCAATTAAAAAGTTATTCAGAAAAATCGTCTGACCGGAACCATTCCTCGTAAGCATCACGACTTGCCAACTAAAATCCTGAAATATACATATATATATTTATATCAATTAGCTATTCTTGCATATTGATACCATGCATCTGTAGTGGATACACAGTTAAGACTGATGACTTCGAGAAAATGAGCTCTGAAATTCACAGAAAAGCATTGCGTTCCATTATATTGTCAGTTTAATGACCAAATAATTTTTAGCATCACTGCGTTAGCATTGAGGATCAAGGAACTTCGTGAATCCAATTGAGCGTCAGCTACTGCGAACTCAAGGATCAAATTATTTGTCTGTTTTGATGGAACTCAAGAAGATACATTACAGGCGATTGGCGTGGCAGGATAAATGACTGCAAAACAAACATTAGCGCTGCTGCTAGATGAGGCCAACAAGAAACGAGCTCGAAGTCGTTCTTTGGTAACCGACTTTTGTATAAAATGATTAGCTGAATTACCGACCAACAGCTTGTATTGCTGCAGAAGACTAGTCCCTGTTCTAAACATCCACTTTTGGAAAGCACGTCAGTAGGAAAGTCAGGCGGGATACCTATTCAAATGCACAGTGGGGCATTCATACATCGATAAATACAGAAAGCCTCACAATACCCTGTGACAGAGTATAGGGAGAGATTGATAACAGAAGCTTTGTTTATCGGATCAACTGCAAATACATGTAATAGGAATGATTCATCACCTGTCCCCGATATCTGGAAAATTCTACTCCCCCTACGACAAATAGGAGAAAACAAAGAAAGCTATAAAACTCCAGTGTCAAAGTCGTGTGATCACAATTGATATGATTATGAACAATAAATTTTGTTCGAAACCTTGTCATCCAGTAAATAATACTGTTCCACTGTGTGATACATCTAATAAACAAACTAATATGGAACTACTTCAGGAATTACCTGTGGCTATGAAGGCTATGGAAGCTGCACTTATGACTCATTTTCTAACCATTTATTATTAAACAACTTATCTAGAGGGACTTTGTGATGTTCAGGTTACAATGCCTGAGTATATGTAGTTAGTGCATGCTATTGTCCGTGGCTGGACAGTTGATGAAAATGAACACGAACTCAAGCTTCCTGTAAAATTATTAGGAATGCTGTAAATTGTTGATAAGAAACTGTGTCGAAGGAAATACTGTGAACAGATAGAAACAAGTGCTACTCCAGCCTCCATAGTTACTATCTGTTAGATGTCTGAACCATCTTTCAAAGTTCAGCATGACGTCAAAACATGAATTCGTCAATTGCTTAATGCTATGCTTGACAAGAGGAACAATGTGTGTGATAGTGAAAACCACAGAAGAATGCTGTAATGGCCAAAGAATGAGAAAGGGGAATGAGCCTTTGTCAGCGAAGACAGGCAAATATAAAGCGTTCGACTGTTATATTACTTTTTTCTAACTGCAACGAATTCAAAAATACACTTTATTCACCTATTTGCAGGAGTCCGGTAGCGTCAATCAGCTTTGTCACAGCAATTCAACACCGCCGAAATAATTACGACAAACAATTGTGTACAGACACTTGCTTGTTATTATTTTTCATTAAGTATGTCTAACATCCTGCTTAACCTCGCCTAGATTACTAGGTCACTAGTATTCTAGCCGGTCCCAAGCCCCGATAAAGAGGGAGGGTTGGGGCATGGTGCTAGCAACTCCACCCCCAAAATTTAACCAAATTGCTACTAAAACCTCAACGCACAAATATATTAAAAATTCTAAAAATACAAACAATAACCTTATTTTTCGCTGGAATCGGGGAAGTGAAATGACGCACGCTGGTGAAAGCCTTCGCGAAGCCAGTCAGCCGATGTGCCTTCTTTCGATGAAAGCAAAAATAAGGATGGGGACGTGGAATATTCGTACAATGTACGAAACTGGAAATGAACGAAAATGGCGAACTCTTCTCAGACTTCTGCGCCTTCAGTGATTTGGTGATTGGTGGCAGTGTGTTCAAACACAGGGATATACACAAGGCAACATGGATTTCACCAGATGGACACACCAAAAACCAGATAGACTTCATTTCAATCTCAAGGAAGTGGAGACGGAGACTACTGGACACAAGATCGAGGAGACGAGCAGATGTGGGTTCAGACCACTATCTAGTACAAGGAACTTTCAAGGTGAAGCTGGAAGCCTTGAGGATAGCTGGGGATAGGCCACAATGCAAGTTCAACACGGAAGAACAGGAATCCAGATAGGCCGCCTATCCTCTTTGGAGACTCGACAGTCTGGCTACTGAAGCTGAGAAGGCAGCAGGCAAAAGGGACCTGAGGACATTATATCAGATAACCAAGTCTCTATCCGGGAAGAGATCAACACAAGTGAAACCTATAAAAGACAGCCAAGGGAACCCAATTACCAAGGAAGAAAGACAGATTAAACAATGGGCGGATCACTACAGAGGACTCCTGAACCGACCACCACCTGCAACCCGTCCAGAAATAACAACAACAGAGCGTACACAACTGCACGTTGACACCAATCCTCCAACGAAAGCTGAAATCTCGAATGCAATGAAGCTTCTGAAAGCTGGAAAAGCAGCTGGACCAGATGGAATACCCCCTGAAGCACTGAAAGCGGACCCGGAGACGACAGCAGATATGCTGACTCCATTATTGCAAAAAGTCTGGAAGGAGGGATAGGTGCCTACTGACTGGAGGGAAGGTTACCTCGTGAAGTTACCAAAGAACGGCGACTTAGGACTCTGCAAGAACTGGCGAGGAATCATGCTCCTGTCGACGCCAAGTAAAATCCTGAATCGCATTATCCTGGAGAGAATAAAGGACGCACTTGATACAGAACTCCGACCAGAACAAGCTGGGTTCAGGAAAGGCAAATCATATTCTGACCAAATTGCAACTCTACGCATTATCATCACAGAACAAAGCATGGAATGGCAATCAAACCTCTACCTCAACTTTTATAGACTTTGAGAAGGCCTTAGACAGCGTTGACCGTGAAGTAATTTGGAAACTACTCGAGTACTACGGCGTACCCCAAATATTCATCAACCTTATTCAACAGCACAGTACGACAACGGCACATGTCAAGTGATCCACAACGGAAAACTCAGCGAGGCGTTTTCAGTAAACACAGGAGTCAGACAAATGTGCTTATTATCACCAATGATATTCCTAATTGTGGTGGACTGGATTATGCGTCAGACAGTGTGAAACGAGAAGACAGGGATATCCTGGACCGACATGAAGAACCTAGAAGACCTGGATTTCGCGCGTGGATGATTTATGTTTGATGTCACACAAAATCGAAGACTTACAAGCGGAAACCAACAAACTGGTAGAAGAAGCAGCAAAGACAGGATTCCAGGTGAACATAGACAAGACGGAGGTTATGAAAATAACCAACCAACCACAACAACAGCAGCAGCAAAATTCAGCGCCAATCACCATCAACGGGAGGGAGTTGAAAGAGGTTACTTCATTCACTTATCTAGGGAGCATTGTCTCAACTACAGGAGGAACGGACGAGGGTGCCAAATCGAGAATCGGGAAGGTGAGAAACACATTCATCAACCTGAAACCAATCTGGAAATCTTCCGCTGTCACTCAGCCTGCATCAACAACAAAATTCGGATTTTCAATACAAACGTCAAGTCAGTCACTTCTTCTATACGGATGGATCAGAAACTTCGCCAGTGGGTCACAAAGAATATTTCCAACAGCCTGTTGCAGACCTTTATCAACAACAACTGTCTTCGCTCTATACTGAAGATCAGATGGCCGGAGAGAACAAGAACCAACAAGAAACTATGGGAAGAAACAAAACAGGAGCCAATCGCTCAACAAATATGCAGGAGAAAGTGGAGATGGATTGGACACTCGCTGAGCTGAGGAGGCCGTTGGGTGACATCGCGCGTCAGGCCAGTGCTCGAGTGGAACCCGAAAGGGAAGCGGCGAGTGAGACGTCCAGGTGTGACAAGGAGGATATCGTGTGAAGAAGAACTGAAACAGTATGGATTAACATGGATGCAAGTGAAAAGTACAGCAGAAGACAGAAGCAAGTGGAGACGTGTAGTTGAAGCCCTATGTTCCACTAGGAACCCAAGGGAACAATAATAATAATAATAACATCCTGCTTACCATACTTGTCTTATTCTATCTGAGTGAAAATAAATTTGTCATCATGACAAGATGGAGGCTTAAATTATCGATGAGACCTGAGAAAGTAATTGGTGGCATAATTCAATATAAGTGAAATATTGCTGCGATTGCTACAGCTGCATCTACTCAATTATTCATCTCGTGTAGACTTAATTTTGCACTATACGTCAACACCCGTGAGCATATGGATTGACATCAAGCTTTAAGTGAAACAATAGTAATGCACTGCTTTTGAATACATTTAATCTTATACGAAATCGAACTCCACCGCAGGGCCTAAGTTCTATTTTTATTTTTCAAATACATAGGTAGGTCTTCTGTCATTGGTGTCTACAGATATACCCATGGCCAGGAGACGCAATCGCAAAACCTTAGGGAGATGTGTATGCTTGACTAAAGTACTTGAAATTCACAAATTACAGTGATCGTACAGAAATTTACTTAAATATTAAACGCCTTAAAGCGCTGAAACGTCTCTGTAGACAGTTCAAGATAATCAATAACACAGGATAATTTTCTACTGATAAATTCATTGGTGAAATCTATGCACATGTTCCGTGAAAACGCATCCCCTTACTGTTCTAGTGAACTGCTGCAGATAACAGTTCAGACTTCAATCACACACTTCAGTCAATCACAACACTGCACACAGAGATTATCATCACCAACCATGTGACTTTAACGTAAAACAGCACAATTGACATTGTTATAATTATTATTATTATTGTCATTATTGTTTTTTAGCCAAAACTCCTGTACACAGTTAGAAGGAAAAATAGTCATCAATTTGCCATTACTAATTATAATGAATTGAGAAAATGGCATGTCCTCTTCGATCCAAGCAGTACAAGTAATGCTGAGGTTAACTGATCTCTCTTATCACTCACTGCTGTAACACATTCTACTATGGATCATGCGCAATATCATGGTAGGATTACTGCACAATAGAAAAGCAAACATATGTTTTCATTCAGCGATAGAAACAATACGCTCTATTAAGAGCAGATAACAGGTGGCGCTCATGTTCTGCATAACAGTAGTAGAATTAAACAACTTTGTCAGGAGAAATATCTCAGTAAACGTGTAGATGATTATCTACTGTCAAATTTATTTCCTCAATGATGTTATGCACTATCAAATACTATATAACTTCATATGCATACTACTGACACTGGGAAGTGTCTGTATTCAGTATCTGAATTAAACTTCGCATGTAATTCTCTGTATATATATAACGTATATATGCACATATATTGAAGAAAGATACCAATTAAGTAGTTTTACGATAAAAGTAGCTGCATATTGTTGTTTTCATTTGTCTTTCTTTGTTCAAGACATTATGTAGGAATGTAGCTTTCTTACTCATCACATAAACGTCACTGAAGCGAAAACGCACTTCCTAAACCAGTGATATGTGATGACAGCTGTTGTGATAACTTCATTCGCTGAGTGTGGTTATTATTCTGAAAGTAATTTCTTTGAGCAAGGGGATTTGTGTGATTTTGTACACAGTCGACAGGTTGACTGAAACAATGAACAGTAGGACTTGCTCTATGAAGTTGGTTACTTTCAGATAAAAAGGGATCTGCCGTAATTGCAGACTGCTTTCCGTGTAGAAATCCACCTGACGAATTACTTGTTGATGTCATCATTGTTTCGCCAGTGAATTTATTAGGCAATAAGTTCTGCATATACTTATGTTGACTATGAGACAGTAACTGACTAGCTTGAGAACTTGGTCGCACTGGAATTGGACACTTGACACCACCATTAGGATGCACAACACCGGTTATCTGTCCTTGTGAACACTCTCCAGTGAGATATCTGCAAGAAGAATTAGCCGTTTGGTTCCAACCGGCATAACACCCTTCACCCCCAAGATTAACACGTATATTCGAGCAGTTGGTATCATAAAACATACAGGAGTTATTCATCGGAAGCTTAACCACTCCAGGTTGACTAGTAGGTATATTTTGGTTGTAAATCGAAGAATACTGTAATGCATTATTTGTAAAAGGATTTATCTGTGAATAAGAGTTATTAGATGTTGATGGAGTCAAACAGTTTGACGAAAACTGTGTACAATCTACCATATTCGTTGTATGATAAACATTTGAATGGTTAGCAGTTTCAGCATTCTGTGCAGCCACCACCATGTTAGTACCTTTCAATTCATCGTGTAAGCGGTCAGATCTACTGTTAACTAAATTCACTCCACTGTGTAAATTACCGTGGGCCAGTCTTTCAACGAGCTCATCTAACCGCTGTTGAGAAGTAGACGACGAAATCGACTTGACTGGTGCAGAAAAACAAGTTAGGATGTTCGAGGATTTCTCCGGACAAACATGAGTTTGGCCAAATTGTTTGGCTGGATAAATCGAATTGACATTCGGATCCGTACTGGCCACCTGGTGATTAGTGAATGCTAGCCCGGTATATTGAGGATTAACTTGGTGATGAAATGCTTGACTGAGTGGAGCTAGATAAGTCATATCTACACCAAGAGGATAAAACTGAGGTGATGGAAGTATTGGACTTGCATATGGAATGTTTGAAATCGTTGGTGTACTAGTAGGTGCCACAAAATTTGTACTTGATGTTTGATTAGGTGGTAAGAGTATGAAAGTAGGATAGTGTGTTTGAGAGCTATTAGTAGTAGGATTGAATGCACTAGAGGGAGGCGGATGACAATCTGGTGGGTGCTGATTTCCATTATATGCATAACTTGTTCCATTGGGTAGAAAAGGGATTGCAGTTTGACAACTCGGAACCACATGGCCAACGAAGTGTCGTATTCTATTCGGAGGGACTGGTGAGAAGTGGTAGTAACCATATTGTGGTGAATTCAAACTTGACGCCACTGTGAAAGAACCTGTTTGACCGGAAGTGGTCACAGAATAATGAGCATAAGGAAGTCGATACGCAAACCATGGAGATGATGAAGGGTGAAGCATTCCGCTATAAAATAATTCTTTGAAATCGGCCACTTCATTGCAGCAAACAGCACCAACGGAATTGTTCTCATGCAATAATTCTGCCAGACTCGGATTCGCAGGCTTATCAGAACATTGATTTGGCGTGCATAACATTTCGGATTTAGGCGTTGAAGAACGACAGGGTCGAAGGGGTGAATACAAGATGGGCGGTGATGACATCGGGAGTTTGCCAATGAAAATTGATTCATGGTTGAACGAGAGTTTCAGTGTTTCCAGCTCGTTTTCGTGTGAAAAGAGCGACCTTCGAGGATCCTTAAATTTCGCCTTTGTATTATATGCAACGCGGCTTGATAATCTTCCTGAAAGATGAAAGAGAAAACTGCATGAATTACTGTTGTTGAAAGCTCTCACATTTCTGCATAAAAATATGTGATTCATTGAAAATCTCTGCATTCGCAATTATCCTAAATTTGAAAAATGGTCTTAAACTTTGTTCGTTCTCGTCAGCACAACACTAACTAAACCATCTATTGGCTCCACAAAGCAAATGAAGTGCATTTAAGCTTAACAGACTATTCAATCAGACTGTTTCTATGACTTCGAACCATATGTGTTTTGTTAGGGTACAGGTGAACCAGATCAAACGAAGTAGATACTGTTGGATTCAAACTTCGTTTGGCTTTGTTTGTCAGGTTCAGTGATACACTTCTCTCCAAATAAGAAGAATTAAATGCAGCACCAATGGTTTATTCGTATTCGTTTCTCGCTAACATTGTCTACCATTCTATATGCTGCTTCTGTGACAGGTATAGCTTCATTAAGTGAGTCAGCACCACGCCTCGCTGATTAAGTGGAACCCGAAGACAGTTGAGTGTGGCACTGACAACCCTATCCCATGAAACAACACCATTCTCGCTACTGAAACTTCGAAGCACAGAAAAGATAAGCTTCTTATTCTCCACTGCAATTTGGAGGAATTTTCGATTCCTAGACAAATGATGCTGGCAGTTGAAGGCCTTTGGTAAGCAACTCGACCGGTGCCTCTAACTTTGACGAAGACAAAAGTATACATAGTCACATGGAATGCCCATTTCACCTTCGAGGTTGGAAAAGCTGCTCAGATCGTACAAGGAAGAGAAAAGGTGCCTTGCAGACGTCTTAGTGGTCTGAGACAGCAGATGGAATTCGTGTAAGTGAACTGTCCAAATGGTTGACTAGAAAGATAGTAATCTACTCCGGTCATCCAGACGACAACCACTGTCATACTAACAACATGACTATCACCACATCAACAACAGCACAGCACAGCACACTACCATGCAGTGGAAATCAATCTCCTTCAGGATCATGACAGCAAAATGCCGCTCAAAATGTCAGGATAATCACAATTCTGCAATGATACTCGCCTACAAACAACACAGACCCAGTGAAGGAGAAGAAAAAGTAGTGGAGAGAATCCTACACACAAACAGCCGCAAGCAGGAATGCACAAAACAACTACCAGAAATGGCGACATCAAAATTCTACTGGGTGATTTGAACGCCAAACTGGGAGCAGACAACACAAGAGAAGGACACATCAGCTACCTGGTGAAATGAATGAGAACGAGGAGCTGTTGTTTCCAAACACCTGTGACTTCAACAACTTCGTCATTAGAGGCAGTGTGTACAAGCACAAGGATATCCACAATACAAATTGAGTTTCCCTATGTAATATATACACAGGTGAATCATTAATATTCATTATTTATTTCACACACTAGCATAATCATTGATTTCCCGCATCTGCGTGATTATTGATTTTAATTACTGAATTCCCATGGTTTGTTAATATTTTTAAAATGTGACATTGATTTTCCTAACTGTATAAATACGGAGTTGTTGTTTAACATTTCGACTGTTGTTAGAGACAGTAAAAGCTCTCGTATCAACGTCCAGTCTTTTTTCTTTGTCTTGCGTGCCCGGCGGTATTATTGTTGTTGTTGTTGTTGACGTGCGATTAGGACAGATTAGCCAGCGCATTAGTTAGATTCGCTCGTAGTCTACAAGGTCCTAATATTCACATACATAACAAATTTGGCGACGGGTTTGCTGAAGATGGACCCACTGCGTTTAGAGAAACTAATGGAACAGCAGCTAAGAATGATGGAAATGCTTGCTGGTCTACAAATATCACGCTCTGCTGATTCATCTACAGCCAACGACAGCATTGGTAGTAGCATCTCCGAATTCGTCTATGATCCAGATGCGAACGTGACTTTTGGTACCTGGTTTCGCAGATATGAAGACCTATTTCGAGTAGACTTTGCGGATAAAGATGATGCCTGGAAAGTACGGCTTCTACTTCGTAAATTGGGAGCAGATGAGCTAGATAAATACTGCAACTTAATTCTGCCACAGAAGCCCAGCGAAAGATCATTCAATGAAACTGTCCATACCCTTCGTCATCAGTTTGGTGATCAGAGATCGTTATTCAACATTCGATATCATTGCATGAAACTAGTTTTGAACGAAAATGATGATATCCATACTCAGTTGGGTATAGTCAATCGCACGTGTGAACGTTTTAAATTGAAATCACTCTCAGAAGACCAGTTCAAGGTATTGATTTTCATTTGTGGTTTGCAGTCTCCCAAATTTGCTGATATACGCACACGTCTATTAAATCGTCTGGAACAAGATCCACGAATGACTTTGAAAGACGTCGGTGAAGAATATCAGCGTTTAATCAACATTCACAACGATACCGTCTTGGTGCAGTCTGGCAGCCAAAATGCAGCAGAAGTGCATGCGGTGCATCCAGTACCGTCGACATCAACCGCACCGCTTCATCCTCAGCATAAACCACCATCAGCCTGCTGGCACTGTGGCTCCTGGCATTTTGCAAACTTGTGCCCATTCAAACAGCATAAATGCCGTCGATGCCGTACTGTTGGTCACAAAGATGGCTACTACAAACGCAACAACCTACCCAGATCTCGTAGTCGACCCAGACGGCGCTACAAGCCTAAGTCTTTGGGTGTTACTGCCACATATCATATTAGTACTCCAGCACCTCGCAAATATATCGATCTGACGATTAATACACGGCCGGCACGCCTACAAATCGACACAGCATCCGATATTACAATAATATCAAAGAAATTATGGCAGAAGTTGGGATGCCCTACCATAGAGAAGACAAATCAAATAGCAATTAGTGCATGTGGTGGAAGACTTCGATTGAATGGAGAAATTAAATGCAGCGTTGGTTTTCGCGATAGTCATTTCATCGGCACATGCTACATCAATAATTCAAACCTTGACCTCTTGGGTTTAGACTGGTTCGAGAAGCTGCATCTGTCAGAGATTCTGTTAAGCAGTGTATGCCAGAAGATTGAAAGTATTGAGCCCTCAACAAGAAAACCAGAAATCAGAGACAGATATATTAAACCTAAGCCCATTAGAAAGAATCACGTGATTAATGAAACACCAACTTCGAATCGTCACAGTGAGTATGGCTGCGCCAAAAGTGCTTCGATGTCTGGTAGCAACAAAGTAACAACTGTTAGCTTCCGTAAGACGGGCTCTGCTCAAAAACTGAAGGTGATGTCTGTCATGGCAGCCAAAGATCCGCCGCGGGAGCCACCGAGAGCATGGCCCACGTCAAAACCATGGTCCCGCCTACATGTGGATTTGGCTGGGCCGATAGAAGGTATATACTACTTGGTTCTCGTGGACTCTTACTCAAAGTGGCCGGAGGTAGTACAAGTGACACCACCTTCTAGCAGCAGAACAGTATCAGTTCTGGAAAAGATCTTCGCATGTCACGGTATACCAGAAATCATCGTATCTGACAATGGCAGTCAGTTCACCTCACAAGCGTTCCAGGAATTTTGCAAGAGAAACGGTATACAACACGTGCGGACGCCACCTTATCACCCTCAATCCAACGGTCAGGCAGAAAGATTTGTCGACACCTTCAAACGAGCCTTGTTGAAAGCAGGGGGAGGGGCGAAACCGGAAGCAATACAAAGCTTTCTTTTTGTATACCGAACTACACCACTGGCAGAACAGAAGAAAAGCCCTGCAGAACTTCTAATGGGTCGAATGCTACGAACTCATCACCACTCCATGTTACCATCTTCATCACATCAACGAAGAAATAGTCTGACGTACTACCGCAAGGGTGATGCCGTCTATGTGCGCGATTATCGACCGAGGAACAGAAAATGGGCCGAAGGCTTGATAGAATGTCGACATGGAACTCTAATGTACAAGGTTAAAGTTGGGGATGAATGGTGGATTAGACATAAAAATCAGATACGACGTCGATATACTACATCCCAAGAACCTAAATTGCCACTGGAATTACTACTGGAAACTTTCAAAATACCACCAGTCAAACCGGAAGCAAAACAAGAGATGCTACCCAGCCGACGATCCCAGCGAAAAAAACAGGCATACGGTGGACCCAAATAATGATAGCGCGTCGGTGGCACAACGGTTAGGACGCTCGCCGATCATGCATATTTTCCGGGGTTCGATACTCAGCCGACGCACTCATTTACCTCTCTAAGCCAGAAATAAAATCTGGTAAATAGGAAAGATTGGGCATGAGGCTAGCAACACCATCCTGTGAAAATAAACACCGCTACAGAAACTTCAAACTAGAGGCTTGAAGCCCTATGTTCCACTGGGAACGTGAAGGAATTAATAATAATAACAATAATAATAATAATAATGACAATGGAAGATGTGAATATTGTAGAGAATTCAGGTCAGAACTAGGAGATATACAAACAAAGACCAACAAACCCTCAGAAGAGGCAGTGAATACAGGACATCAGATGAACACAGAAACTATAGAGATTATGGAGATATCCATTCAAGAATAACAGAAACAAATCACTAGCGAGAGAGGCAGAATGAAGCGAATTGTCCCTCCTACTTGCCTCAGCAGCATCTTTTCAACTACAGGTGGCATGGATAAGGATGTCGAAGCCAGTAAGTCATTACACTGAAATCAATGTGAACATCTGCAAGACTCAGCGCAAGCAACGAGATTCGAATTCAGAAAAGTAGTTTCAAGTTATTGCTTTATATATGGAACAGATACATGGCACGAGTGTCACCTATAGCGTTTCATCAACATCTATCTTCAATCGACACTGAACATTAAATGGCTGATAAGAAGGGACAGTCGACAAGGAAGCCTGACAGACAGCAAACCACCAAAAAGTCACTTAAACAAGAAACAAATCCGCAGATGGAAATGGAGGTGAATAGTAACATCAGACGAAAGGACATCGAGCGGAGCCTGATCCGAGGGTCGCGAATTAGTGGTCCGAAGGAAATAGAACTTGGGTCAGGTCAGTCATGGAGCCAGCTGAAAGTGATTACACAGGACGCAATGCAATAACAGTGTACAGAAGAAGCCTCATGTTTCACTTGCAACGCAAAATACTACACAAAATCCGTATACTTTCAATTCACGTGTGTGTAGGATAAGAATTTTACTCGTGACTTGAAGGCACACTTACTGAATACCAACACAAAAATTATCTACAAGTGGTTATTCACACTCACATTCATGGATGATGACAAATACATACTGTGAAAAATATCTACAAAAAATACTGCAAACATACAGACTTACCTATAAAGTCCTCGCATAGACACACTATGCACTCAAGACCACGACCTCTTATTGAAACCACAAAATCCATCGCCTTTAACAAGGTTACCAACGATGGATAATTATAATTCTCTGCTTTTAACGGAACACCAAAACGTCTTCGGTACATGGGAGACAAATTTAAAAGCGAGATCTTCCCATCACTGTGACTTAATAGCTCTTTCAAGTCGCCGGCGAGTCTGATCAGTGGACGAAGAGCTATAAAGCAATTCGATAGTATTTCCAATGGAATTTTCGTACACACATTCTCAAACGAATTGCTTTGAAGTTGAGTATGTCTATAGTGAGGAGGATTTATTGCGTCATATGGAATCGCTTCATCCGATGAGCTACATGACATTGCGCCACGTGGATTAGGCAAATCCTTCCGAAGCTGTTCAACAAAAACCGGAAAACGAATAATACCATAAAGTGAAAGTAAAAGGTAGAAATCGCTTACGAAACAAAAACTTCGAACTAAAACCGAACCGCGTAAAATATGCATCTCTAACAAAATATCCACAATCAAATTTAAAATGCTTAAATATCACGGGTTTCAAAGAAGGAAAGCATGAACACATTTGCAAGATAATACGAGCGCATTTCATCTCATGGATTATTTCCAAATGCCTACATTCGAAACAGTATCAAAGTATAAATTACAAAATTTCTGAATCCACCTTTTTCACAGTGACTTCAGGTTATGCATAGAAAGTTTATGTAATATAATTCTTAAATGATGCAAGTGGACAAATTACTCAGTGTTTAAAGGTCAACTGTTTATTGTATTGTATTGCATTGTATTGTATTGTATTGTTAGACAAGAGTGGGAGCAGAGTTCAGATTTTGTCAAGAAACAAAATCGATTCGAGCCAGTGAACAAGGTCGAAGAGTGGAGTTAATTTTATCAATAATATGAAGGAAGCTAAAGGCAAAATTATGACACACAAATATATAAGCGAATTTGAAAAATTAATAGTGAGTTGAACTCAGTGAGTGAAAATCAAAATTAAATTAAATGTTACCTATAAGAATTCAGAATATAAAAATGAACACACAAACAAAACTGTTACAGTGGAACAGTCATCACACTATCTCTCTATATACAAAGTTTGCTTTGAAATCTATTCACTGAAAACGTTTTTTTCAAATCAATTCAACTTCGGTTCTAAAAGTAACTTTTGTCATTGTTTCGTATGTTTTTCAGTGCTAGCCTGTGCTCGATAGATGTTCACAACTAAAGTTAGAACCAGTTCGAAAAATCAAAAGTCAATCTGAACGAAGAATATTCTTTTCAGTAATTTCTCTTCAGGTTCTTACAAATATAAAATACATTAATATTTGTTGTCCTTACAATAATGATAGCCAGTTATGCGGCGGATACATTTTTAACGTAGAATAACAGATTAGTAGTTATGGGGTGTCAAAATAAATAGTCGTATTTGTGTGACAAACGTCCTAGGCTGAAATCCATTACAAAATATTGTAAAACGGGAGACAATGGTGGTGATTAATCATAATAGATTCGTAGAGTGTGGGGTAGGAAAATTGACAATGTCAGCAGTTCATACTTTTAAGGATTCTTCCCAAATTTTACAAGAACTAGGTAAACTGAATATATTTCCAACAAACGCCTCGTTTCATACGAGAATGGTTGACTGTTTACATATTCCGGTCTAAAAACAACAGTATTATCATTCTGTTTGCACGTCTTTCAATGCTATCGTGTACTCTATAGTAAAGTAACTTCACCTCAGTCAGATTACAAAACGCATGTGAATCAATCTCAGTGTAACTAATGCTCAGATGGGAATAAGTAATGCATTTCTCACACATACATTTTTACATGCTCTAATCCTAACCGTGGAACATGAGGAAGGTGTTACGTGTAAGATTCTCTGTTCACTAATTAGCATCATCGAGCTATACATCCATAGAATAGTTTTTAACGGAGTTATGTTCAAAGGAGTAATTACCTAAACGGATTGTTTTACGTATCTCCTTAATGCATTTACCATCACCTCTGCATAATAGAAAATACAGGAAAACTGCTTCTGCCCCAGTTTTCAACCCCTATATCGCAGCTAATTTTCCTCAGAAATTGCTTTACCTAAGGTGTTTAGGACAACTTCACTATCTTTTATCCTCTCATTCTACTCTGAAAGAGAAAAAGGCCCTTGTGATGTATGCCATGATAACCAATGCAAGTCGGAAAACCCGTCGATTAAGCTGAGTGATTTCTTCCTGATACCTTTCTCTTTTCGAATTGCTCATCATCACGTAACAGTAATACCGATCATTTTCAAAATATCGATTTTCAGGTGTATAATGACTGACTGTGCGAGCCATTGGACACTGACAGTCGGTGTATCCAAATTCAGTTGTTTCGTGACATTGCTTTCATACTTAGATGTGGTTAACCAGGTCAAATTAGATACATACCTCTTCTACAAGAATTCTAACACTAACTTCACAGGACAGTGAGAAAATCAACTGACATAACCACATAAAACAATCAGTCTAGTGGAGTTAAAGTTTGCATTACCTCTACAATACTTTCCAATTCTTCAAATATTACATCCAACATAGGTTCATTTTTAAACTGATATCGGAACAGTTCGTAAAACGACGAAAGAGGCGCAGCTCCTAGCTGATATTGTTGCAATATTAAAATAACCTTGTGCGCTAGATGTTTGATCGCTGTTCGATCAACTAAGCACACATATTCCACAGCATTGTAATTCGGGGTGAAGTTTTCAATGGCTGCAGTATTTCCCACTCTCGTATCTGCTACTTGATCACCATCTCGATTCGGTTCGGTCTGTTGCTCTCCACCTTCAATAGTTTTAGTTAGTTTACCTTCTGATGACAGTTTTGATGTATTCTGTATCTCTTGCGAATAGTCTACCGCAGTATAGAAGAGATGTGGAAACTTGGATAATAACTCTTTCAATGAGAACACGTTGAAATCCTCCAAACATAAAGCATAACCGTGATGTTTTGCATACACATCTGTCAGATCATTGATAGGTATTCTTCTGTCTAGTGACGCTTCCAGAAGCACCACAAGTCTTTCGGCGAAAATTTGCGAGTGTTTCTCAGGCAGAAGGCTGATGTATTTTTCTTTGTTTTCTTCTATAACCTATCAAAGTAAGCATACATTTAAAATAACTTGAAAGTATTAAGAGACGATAGATACTTCGTTTCAATTTGAAGGCACATATGTTGTATATGTAGTGCGTGGAAAAAACACTAGCTCACAGGACAATTGTCTCCTAACTATGTAACACAAAAGAAAATTACAAGCAATACTCCACTACACACAGACAATTCCACACAGTGTCAGATATTACTGTTTACAATAATCGCATTATTATTATTATTATTATTATTATCACCATCATAAATGTCTGATGACGCTAACAAATAATGAGTGAATTAGAACAAGCCTACTAAACCGAGGTAACACTAAATGATAAAATCTCTTCCAGACTCTTTTTTATTTCTTGCCTGCCGATCACAAAATAAGGCTCAACACTTCAAGATTTAACGTTTCAGTAACGACAGTGTTGTTTCTGTTGGTGGATTAGCTAGTCGGAAGCCTAGCCATTCACCTTTTCCAGGCTTACTACCGGCCTGGAGAGGTCTAAGAGGGCGTCAGCTAGACCTATTCCACACTCGACGAACATTTCACCATGAGAAAACATTTCACTTTTGTGAATGCTGTGTTCACACGGAAAGTGAGCAATACTACTTTTCTAGTGATAATGCAATTCATGAGGTCTACCTATGAACTTCGTGTCTTATAGTTGAACAGTAGAACACAGAACAATAAAATCTCAATGTACAATAAGACACTTTGACATCACCGTGCACTTCCATGATAAACATATTATACACTATGTTAACTATTACTTAAACTGCTGACTTGACTCTGAGTCTTACTCATCTTTAGATAAGACTAAGTGCAAAGAATCTGGCTAACATTCCTTTTCATTTTAAAGCTTATGGGAGAGTAGAGATGCCAGATGTGATACATCTGCCTGAATTTCTGACGTCTATTCTTTGCAACGTCAACCCAGAGAAATTTCATTTCATAGTCACCTCTGATCGCCTCTGATTGCTCTAAAAGACTTCGGACTCCATTCATCCAGATGGATGACTGGTGAAAAGGCTCAGCTAGAAGACATGGACACTAACCAAGTAAGCTTTCTGTCGACAGTGTTCAACAACCAACTGCTTAACTTGGTTGAAACAGTGTCTTTCAGAGATGACAATAATTTGAACTGCAGTGTCTGAAAATCGATAACCACACGACTACAAGAACGAACAGTTCAGCGAAGAGTCTCTTTTTTCCACTCCATTGTGTGTCTACAAATTCACTTGCTCATGTGGAGCAAGCGAGATATATAGGTCATTCGATGTGTGTTTCATCTATAAGAGTCAGAAAACATTATCCCGCTTGGCTACCTAAAGGTAACAGTGGATCAATAAGGAGTGCTCTAATCAAACGTATATTCAACACTGGTCACTCAATATGTAAACAGAATTCATTCAAAGTCATCTACAAAGTCAAAAGAAGCCTCCCGAAAACGGCAAGCTTCCATATACTTTGCATACCTGAGACCTTAGCGATCCGGATGGAAAACCCTGATTGGTGCACACAGAGTAAAATTCTCCATCCTCTCCTTCTACCCTGGGTATAGTTCCAAGTTCGACCACTGTGTTACCAGTACAGTCTGTGGATTTATCTATAGCATTTTAGTAACTCCGTTTTATTAACTAACTCTGTATTTACTTCGTCTATCAATTACACAGTTTATTTTGGACACTCATCTCCAAGTCCCTTCACTAACATCCTATTTTTCTGTGTCTTTCATATTACCTAAACCTTGTCAGTGCTTACTAATCTCCGCCCTCCCCCACTAGTTACAGTTTGATGACGTAAACAATAACCCTATGTGATTTCTGTTTTTTTCCGACAAACTTAATGTACACACACACACCCACACACAAAACAATTATACATGTGTATACAGCTAAGTGAATGAATTCGCCGCCGAGAAGAGACTCTTCGCTGAACTGTTTGTTCTTATATTCATGTCTGGGTGGGCAATTTTCGTGAACTAAAAATCATACGACTTTCATAACCACCTAGAATGCTATCTGACTGTGTGAAGAGTTGCAGTCTGTGTTGAACAATTCATACTTAACCTATAGTTGGATCTCATTAAATGTCACTTAGGTGAATGTCAGTCACTGTTTTACTATAACACATATATAAGAAAGAGTTTGCAGAAAAGCCATTATTTATCCACCATGATCCTAATAAAACTGACTCTTTTAAAAATTAAATTCCTACCTCTGAGATCGTGTTGTGAATGCTAAGCTGAAATAACAAACACATCTACATTCGAGTCGTATGCGTCGATGGCTTAGCGGTAGAAGGCTCACCGACCACGCCTTCTCATATGGTTCAGGGTTCAATCCCCGGCCGATGCACTCGTTCACGTCAACATGACCGGTACAGAGGAAAGGTTGGGCATGAGGCAGGCTACCAACCCCACCCCGTAAACACCATAAACACCAACGCTACTGAAACTTCGAAGCTTTAGCTTGAAGCCCTGTGTCACACTGGGAACGAAAGGAAGAAGTAAACACATTTTTTAACATATATTCGAGTCGTATGAATGAGGATGTATATACAAAATAAAAAACTTCTTAAACTAAATAAACGTTTTACCTGGATTACGTGGGAAATCGCATCCAGAAGGTCTGCTAGTTTTGTGAAACCATAGTCAGATACCCGACACTGTCGACTAAAATTATGGTAATACGATGGAATAAATTCATTAATAGGTAGTCGGCAACGAGGTCTTTGACTGAGCAGATCGACTACTTCATCCGCAAACATTGTGGTGCGATACCTTTCCTCACTGGTTTGTGTGCGTTTTGGTAATGACACAACTGTGTCTGAACCCGAACCGGTTACTTCCACAGCATTATCAGACAGTTCCGACAGCATATCAGTAAGATGACAGACACCACAATCTGTCATACAGAATTCCTATTTTTTTTAAAACAAGATTCAACAGATGTGATTGGTAAATAATAGCTAGTATATGTCTGTAACATTTCATCAAACATATTCACTACCTGATTAGAATACAGCTTTAAAATTGTGAAAGTGTAAAGTATGAGAAAAGATACTGAAGTCATTCGGAGAAAATGCATTGATAAAAAAAAAGAATTAATTCTCATAATTACAATGTACGCAAAACATGCATGACTGAGGACACTAAAGAGAAGAAACCAAACCAATGCTGCATGAAATCAATTACAGCATATAATGAAATATGCAAAATGAGAGATAATCAAAACAGCAATAATAATAATAATAATGAAGATAACATTTTAAGGAAGACTAACAGAAGTTGATGTGTTCTACAAGTTAACTGAAGTCAGTTGGAATGACCACAATATAAGAAAAGTGGTTGTGAAATATGTAATAAAGACTAAAAATAATAAAGTATTATGTGATATTATTGAGACAAGATGGAGTGAATACAGTGTGAGTATTTTTCCCAAAAGGTGGTATATCTAGTTATCAAGATGGTCAACAATTGAAATTGTTAACAAAGTAGAATGAAATACCAGTGATGATAGTGTAATAATAGAGAGATGAAATGTTAAACAGAGAAACATTAATAGGCGACAAGTAATCTAGAGGGAATGAGGTATAATTGACTACTTTCTTAAAGTTCACATGGACGCTCATCATCGGTTATTATGACACAATCAATTTTGTAAACTGTCCTGTCCTTGTGGGAATCACTTGAAAACGACTATCATAGGGCTGGCTATTTAATATCTGAATTGCTAAGCAAATAGATTATTCAAAACTATTACATAAATCAGTAGTGTGCACCGTTACAAATCTATGCTTCCTTTCCAGATTGCAACTTGTCATATCAAGCAGGTTGCCTAACTTGACCTCAGTAATTTCGGTTTCCAAAGGAAACTCTGGTGAAACTTCAGCTCGGACTGTGTAATTTCTAAAGTGCGAGCTTCACTAACTGTCATTGAGCTCTCTCGATCCACTTTAGTAAAGAAATCACACTCAACTATCCTATGCTTTAATTTGTCTCCCACAGGACACAGTATCAATTCGTGAACAAAGCATTAACGATGAATGTACCAGGGTGATCTTTCGACAAAACTGCATAATGTAGATTTGGCGATATAGAAAACTCACTAACAATGTCGGTATATCGAGATTTAAACCAACCTTGTCTCTCGCCATCCACTGTGTTCAATGCAGATGGTTGATGATGCTAACTTTCCAGTTGGGTTTCAAAGTCAATTTTGTTGATAAATTTCGTCGGAATGCAGAATCTGAATCCCGGTGAAAGCACTTCTCTTTCTATCTGCCTCAGCTGACGACTTCACAAGTTGAATACAAAGTTTTCGGGATTCCCAGCAATACCTGCACGCAAAAATCGAGATGAAGCTAAAAATAATGAGAGGATCAACTTAAGAGAAAAACTGGAGACAATAACTGTTACTACTACAGCCATCATTATAGACTAATGAAGTTCAGTAGGAAAAAGAATATTTAAGAAAGTACTGTACTCAGATGAACTATGTGAAAACTCGCTTTTCAAAACTGGATTACGAAGCTTATTTCAGGATGTCTACACACTCAAGTGTGTCCAACAACTCAAATTTAAGATGACGCTACAGAGATTTATAATGCATGGACAGGTATAATGTTGATATAATGTTTTTAATATGGGCCCACATCCCCCTTTCAGATTTCTTCTGGTGTATGTAACGCATATTACTCAACAACTCATACCACTGCCCTTCCAGAATGCACCACACATTTGTCAGCTCTTCAGACAGGCTACATCGGCGCGCATGCGCCCACGTTTCCAAATTATATTCCCTCCTCTGTCGATTGCCACAAATTTTCAGGTTCCAAACCGTAGGCTAGTTGTGTCGAGAGCATACTTAGAGAGCTTTAAGAAAAAGACTACCGTTTCACAAGTGAGAAATAGACTTTCATATTGTTCTAAGTGGAGAATCACCGACAGATTCACACCTAAAGAAGGCGGACTAGTTAGTGGGAAGCTGCTTAGGCTAACTGAATGGTAAAATTAAAAGAAATCTTCCAGTCTGTCTGTGAGAAGAATCATTCTCCAAGTTGAGCGTAGCGACACTTTTCTGATAGAATACGTAATCTCATGATTATTCCTTACGGAAAAGAAATATTACTTAGGTGAATGATATTCAGACCATGTCAGAATAACTGTGTTCAGTATGAGGGTGACACGATTCTTATTTCCTATGTCCGTTTGAATGTTATTGCTAATTCGCAAGTGAGATTAGCATTATATACCTCACATAAATAAAAGATGCGCAAGTTTAGGATCATTTTGCGCAAATGCATCGAAATACCACTATTTATCCAAAGCTGCGAACCCTCTCAAAATGTCCTGAATTTAGAAGTCAGTCTACACCATTTTCACTCGAAATGCCACAAAATTGTACATTTGGGTTATGTGAGTACCGAAAATCATAATATGACTGAAGACGACAATTGTTTCTAGTATCCAATATCCTGATTACGAGCTAGTATAAACCAGTGATTTCTTTGAGCTCGCTTCTTGATTCTAAGGTAGAGGTTCCAGATCTTCGGTGAACATATGCGTAGTTTGTGTTACAGCTGTAATATTTATACGAAACAACACACTTTGCCACTTCAACATTTCACTCTTTACACAAAGCAGAAAATCAGAAGCAAAATTATACTAGAGATTAATTCCATCTCTGTAATAATATGCGACGATTTATTTTCATTCCATTGAGTTTTATCAACGCATGCGAATCTAGCCGATTATCCCAGTCCGTGACTGGAGTGGTTGACATATCATAACTTCACTACACTGTTTTACCGACTTTAGCATGTTTTACTAACTTCGTAATAGTTTACCAATAAAAATCAACTCACTATGCTAGATCCGTTACAGTTAGCAGTGTGTTGAATTAATGCCTTTTCTAATGGTTTATGAACACTGGTGCGAACTAACAAACCTCAATGACCTTCGGATTTTTAGAACTGATGGAATTTTTATCTGTATCATTTCTGAGACTGTATGATTTAGAAGGGAATTTCATTAGTTTACAATTCTATGCGGAGAATAAGTCTCAAGGTACAGATGATTCGAAATTCGTTTCTGAACTTTCTTTTAATTAATCCTTCAACGAATAATTCACACAGGCCCTGTTCATAGAAAAAGCAGAAACACACAAATAAGGGGAAAGAATTCATTGGAACTTATGGTAACATGTGGCACTGGAAGCAGAGACTTGTGTCCTAAACTGACTTTTCTCATCACCTAGGGGGTGCCGGAACATCTGCTTCTACCCAATTTCGAGCACCTATATACTGTAATCAAGCTTGGGGTGACAAACCACCATTTTACATCTGAAAATCAACGCACACAACGTTTATTTCGAGGAGATACCATAGGAGACAGGTCTTCGTCACAGATATTTCCCAACGTGTGATAGCTAGTAGGATAACGCAGAGTGGAAGAACCTCTACTGAATTCATTACTGGGCAGTCGGCGTGAATTCCAGACTGAGTAATGGGGAAGAGACTCCTCACAGAATAGTGAGTGCACAATACGAGAATGGTTGAAGACCCAATAATCTCAGAACTTGTGACCAGCATGAGAATACCAACGGAAACACCAGCTAACACGGGGTGATCGCGGTAGATCTACAAATATACGAAGTCCCAGGTCAAAAAGCAGACCCAGGCGAATCAGACAAACAGGATAATTCTGTTAGCATCACTTGTGCCTTGTCGCACAAACTAAGAAACTCACACTGCCATGCACCTTTTCTAAACCACCATTCGATCGTAAGACCGCTTATCAAGTGTCTGGGAGGTCACTTACTTTAAGTCGAGGATAAAATCTCGGGCAGAGACTTGTTCGTTGATACACAAACCGCATCAATATCACACTGAAGACACAGGCCGAGTTTGTCAGACACGCAAATCTCAAAGACCTTCAGATGATTTGTTATCCCTCCATTACCGTTTATTGATAAAATTGCGTTTTCACATTGATTTTATATGAAAACACTTCATCGTCTTTCTACTAGCTCCTGTCCATTCTACACAGTCTTATTAATTACTTATTATCTCACACTTATTACTCCATGCCAACTTCTGCCTCTTTTCAACTCCCAATTAGTCGTCCCTTCTGGGTTACACCTCACATTGCATAATACCTCTTTCGAGGAAAACGTTTACCAGCATCTCATTGGTCTTATGATTTCTTTGTTAAATATGATTACGATTTTGCAGCTTATGAAAATGAACAGCCGAGAGGAAAACTTCCTTCGCTGTTTACGTCTTTTTCTTATGATTTATAGGTAACTTACTGTATGAACGGTCACTCGCCAAGGCCTCAGTTGGCAACCTACTCATTGCTAGTCTGGATGCAAACACACATGAAGACCACAATAGAGAAGTGTTTCGATAGCCGGAAGAAAACGGTATGACAGCTAACCACAGCAACTACCTTCTTGTAGCAGAAACAATGCAGCGCCTAGGGTGTGGAACTAACAACACTGGGATTGCAACAGTATCCAAAGAGATGGACACCACTAGGCGGTAATCCCAACCCACTCCGAACTTCTCCTGGGTTGGCGAAACTCTGTCAAGGTTTTGTACGTCACTGCGCACAATAAACACAGCCCTCACTGATGTACGATAGGGAAAGCGGAAAGACTTTCGGTTGTCAAAAGAGACAGTCGATGCAGTCGCACAGCTGGAAGATGCATTAGTGAAGGGCATAACGTGGGAGCATCCTGATACAGATGATCCTCTTGCACTTATTTTAGATGCATCCGATAGGGCTATAGTAACAGCTCTTGATCAGCTGAATAGAAATGGCTAGAAAGCAATCCCACTCTTTTCTACACAGCTTAATCCTGTGGAAACCAGGTTTTCAACTTTTCCTAACAATCTACCTAGGTGTTGAACAATTTCGCAAAGTTTTAGTGGTGGCTTGAATGCAGCCTCTCCGAGTGCTGCTGGCAGAGTTCAGCATCCAGTGCATCTTTAATTCTCTTTAGGGTGACGCGACTTAGAAAATTACTTGGCGTGGATAAGAGCATTATTCCACGCTAGTTATTGCAGAGGCCTCAATCGCACTTCCTTGCAGCTTGACAAGGTAGCCACCTATTCTTCCAATCGGTAGGCACTTTTCCTTCCCTACATATCTTTTCTGATAATGGCATGAGAACACCAGCCGCAGTCTCTGGATCCATTTCGCATTGCTTTGGGGGATTCTGTCTGGCCCTGCTGCCTTCCCGACTGGACTTCAGTAGCTTGATCGCACTTAGGATCTCTGTTTTCGTCAAAGGGGTGGTGTCCACTGGTAGGCAGTTCTGTGTGCCATGGAATATTCTTTTATCTTCCCTAGCACTCTTCTTCACCTCTTTATTCAGTGCAGATCTCATTGGTCTTAGATTCTCCTTCTGTTCTCCAACTCTTCATTGAGCCATCTTCCTCTCCACCAGCCTCCTCTCAGATTCAGATTATAAGGACCGAAGGCTCTTGTTGCCTATGTTAATCCCCGCGATATATATCTCTGCAGAGATCCAGTTTCTCTTCGAAAGCCTTCACCGATGGAGCTGTTTCTTCTGAATCAGGTAAGGAGTTCCAGTCGTTGACCACTCTGTGAGAGAATCTAAACTCCAAACGTATTTTATTCGACCTTGGTTTGAGCACCTTCTCCTGATGACCCCGTAAATGTATCCTAGAGGGAGAGAAAAGTCTTGAAAGGTGAATCCCTAAATCACCCCCGCATATACGGTAAGCCAAAATTAAGTCGCCTCTCGTCCTTCGGTATGATAATGGGAAGAAATTTAAATGCTCCATCCTCATATCATAAGGAAGGTGTGAGATACCACTAACTAATTTCGTTCCTACCCTTTGTACTCCTTCCAGGGTATGTGCGTCTTTTTTGAAGCATGGATTCGCCGCTTGTATGCAGTACTCTAGATGAGGCCTGACATATGTTGCATAGAGTACTTGGAACATACCCTCGTCTAATCATTTGAAATATCTTCGAAGTGCCCATAGCATTCGAAAAGCCTTAGCTGCGGCTCGATTACAGTTTACCGCTGTTTTTAAGTCATGGCTAACAATAATTCCTAAGTCCTTTTGTTTCCTATCATCTGGCAGTTCTCTGTCTCACATGGAGTACGACGTATAAGGCTTCTGACCTAGATGCATTACCGCGCTTTTCTTGGAATTAATTTCCAGACTCCAAAGGTTAGCCCATTCGGTTAATTTGTCTAGATCGTTTTGTAGTACCAGCCTATCATCGCTACTATTTACGGTTTTCCATATCTTAATACCGTCCGCAAATAGTAAGGAAGATTAGGTAAGAATTTTTGGCACTTCATTTACGTATAATAAGAATAGCAGGGGGCCAAGTACCGTTCCCTGAGATACCCCACTTAGTACTGCTTTCCACCCTGACAGTACACCATAAACCCTTACCTTCTGTCTCCTATCCATCAGGTAGTCACTAAACCACCCCGCATAAGCGCTGGTCTAATCCAAAATGTTTAAGTTTACTAAGAAGACCTAAGTGGGATACCGTATCGAATGCTTTATATATATATATTTATTCCTGTTTATGCAGGAACATACCAATTGTACAGGCATGGATAAGTTATTATATAAATTACAGTTTGTTTGTTCAATCTAACATTAGAGTCAGTCAGAACAGTCTGCAAAATAGTCTGTCTCTGTAACACATAAAGAGATATAGAAATATTGTCTTCGCATTAACGAAAAACCCAGACTTCAGATGAATGTAATACAAATAAAGCTTGAAGTCAATTCTCCTATAAAACTTTGTTGTGAACAGCATCCGTGAGATAAAGTTTATTGATGTATTATTTTGATTCAATGATGTATTTATTCCATTTTTGTCAGCAGTCATATCGTAGTTTTATAATAGGAAAAAAATTTGATCTTTGATACGAAAATTAGATAAGGTAATGTTAGATTGTTTTACTGCATCAAATGGGGTCAATTCTAGAACTATCCATTTGCGCCATTTGCGACAGCATGGCAGACTGTACACGTAAGTTGAGTAATACATTGATAACTGTTTGAAAACCAGTTGCTTCTTTATTTCAGATCAAGAATAATCCTTGTACAGAATGTTAGCCAGCGTTTTCAAGTGGTTGCATCGGATCGTTCATGGAATTTGAGTTTGAATTTACATAAATGGTCATTTCAGATTGGATGTTGGGTTGTTCGACCTCAATCAGGTGGTATATAGAAGATTACGCTCAGCAGGGAGATAAAGTATGTAAATATGAAAAGAACTTTATTATTTTATGTACATATAAATGTTTATAAATGTATATCATTGTATAGTAAACACTACCCAAAATCTTGTTGTTTTTTATGTAATTTTGCGAAGTCTTAGAGTTTATTTAGTGTCGTAATATTTAGTAATGAGTCTAGGCGTTATAGTGTGCTAATAGCTCATGCGTTTTGGAAATAAGTGGTGCGGTGTGATTGGCATAGTCATTGGGATGAAGCCGTTTATATAGCAAGCGTTTGAAGGTTATAATAGAGTGACAGGTCCTTATTTCTAGGGGTAAACTGTTCCAGATCTTAGAGTACATGACTATGAAGAAGTTTTCACGGAGTGCTGTCTTGCAGTTTTTCCTAGATACTTTGCACGTTTGGTTACGAAGGTTGTAAGAGCCTTCCGGTGAGAACTGTATCTCCTTGCTGTCTGAGAATGATATTTTATGCAAGACTTTAAAGAAGAATGTTAGGTTAATGCTCAGTCGTCTCATCCAGAGTGGGTCGATAACTAGCGTGGAATAATGCTCTTATCCACGCCAAGTAATTTTCTAAGTCGCGTCACCCTAAAGAGAATTAAAGATGCACTGGATGCTGAACTCTGCCAGCAGCACTCGGAGAGGCTGCATTCAAGCCACCACTAAAACTTTGCGAAATTGTTCAACACCTAGGTAGATTGTTAGGAAAAGTTGAAAACCTGGTTTCCACAGGATTAAGCTGTGTAGAAAAGAGTGGGATTGCTTTCTAGCCATTTCTATTCAGCTGATCAAGAGGATGAAGTCCGCGGTTGGGCTCACCAATTTAGAGGCTGACGGTATCGACGTTCGTGGATTGTACGGAGTATACTAACGCAAAATCTTATACCAACAACTTCTAAAGTATTCGTTTCTCATGTACCAAATACAAAGCAAAAGACCAGATTTGGTCGTCAAAAGTACGAGATATATTTCGGGACCAAATCGTGAACCGTTTGAGTGCTTAGCTGGTTAGTGATCGTGCACGCACGTGACACGATGGAATACCAAATGACAAGGATGCTTATAGGAGACTTATGTTAGAGTTCACTAGTATTACAAAATATGAGAAATAAAATTCAAGTCAATGGAATGTTAAGTAACAGTATATTACCAAAAATGCAACGACACGTTATATCAACAAAAGGGTTACTTGGAAATAAAGTTTAAGTCCTCTGCTACAAATTATTTATATAACCCACGGAGACGTTAATTGTTCGTACGGAGTAGGTTGTAGCTGCTGTGTCCCGGTTGTAGAATTGTCTTCGGTTGAGCGTAGTGGACTTCTACAATAAATCCGAAAGATACAACACGGTAAGAGCTGAGCTAGTAAGCCGAAGAAACCAAGGAGAAGACGAAGTCTCCAACAGCAGAGTGTATTTTCCAATCGTACACTGAAGCAAAGGATATTTCAACCAGAAGCGTTTTAAACAAAAATTATGTACAATATGTCTAATTTCTACAAATAACCAAAAAGTGTACAATCACATTGTTGCGCTCTCCACATGCTTGACCGGAAGCCTTCAGCTAAACAAGTCGACTTAAACAGTGAAAGTCAGCATCCAATGTTGAGTGATGATTGCTGTGGTCACTAATTTTGGGGAATTATTTACCGCTACAATATATTTGTATATATAATATCAGCAATAATAATATAAGTGTAAGTGTTATTGTTGGGATTGTGAGGAGTGTAAAGAAGTGAAACGACGAATTCAGTTGTCTACTTATGAATGGTGTATGGGATTTTAAGGGAAAGGGCCATTTGGACGCAGTCCTTGTGTCTCTGCATGATTGTCCAGCCTTCACGCAAAGGTTTCCACAGACGGTGCCATAGCTACATCTGCCGGTTAGGAATTCCAGGAACGACAAACCCGCAGTGAAAAGAAGTGGGAGCGCACTCGGGTACTTGCCCTGTGGTAAGCTATCCTTCTGGGATTTCCACGAGGAAGCCTATACCTACTCAATGACAGAACACCTTTGTTTGGGTGATTCTGATCATTTGTTATTTTGTAGGCAGTAATCAAATCCCCCCTAAGACGACGATAGCTAAGTGTGAATAGGCCTAATTTCTTCAGCCTTTCATCAAATGGTTTATTTCGGAGACCAGCCACTCCTTTTGTTGCCCGTCTTTGGACTCTTTCCAAGAGGTTGGCATCTCTTCTAAGCAGTAGGGATGCAATAATATTATGCACTTCAAGGTGCGGTCTGACGTATGTTTTGTACAACCTTAGAAAGAGCTCAGGAGTTAGTGCACCTAACTGTCTATATTTTAAGTGTATGACCGCATATTCCCTAGCTACGTTCCCCGTGTAATTGACGCTTGCGTCCATTTTTTCCGTTAGAACTAGACTTAAGTCGCGTTCCGATGTTGTGCAGGACAATAAACAGTCGACTTGTGATTTGGGGATATTGATCGGATACAGGGATGCATAAAAATAAAACTCATCAACTCTATATTTAAAAAAATAGATTGAGTTAAGCGCATACTAGGGATCACCTTTTAACGTCAGACGTTTTTAGCTTGTCTGATAACTTAGCCATAGTGGGAGATGTTCTCGAGTGAGCAACCACGAAAAATCAAGTTCCTAGAGCAACAACGACCAGTATAACTCTCTCCACGACAAGTGCAGTTGAATTGGTAGATACAATCTGAAGTGGCCAGCTAGTCTAGGTACTTCATCTTTCAGTCGACTGTGGCTAAGTATAGGTGTAGTGAAAGCCATTAACCAGCAGTTCGATATTGGACCATCTGGTGCAAACCGGCCAGCCAGTCAGCCATTGTGGAAGAATCCTTCTCTATCATCATCTACCGTACTGGGTGCCTAATAAATTGACAAAATCATCATCGAAGCACCGAATGCTGCCTAACAGCAGCGGCTATTGCAATTCGTCTCAAACAACCAATGCTCTGTGTGTGGAGAAGAAGCAACTCCAGCTAGCTAGCCACTACTACTGCCCTGACCGACTGGCCTTCATTGGGTGGAGACTATAAATTCATGAATTTGTAATATTATCTTTCCTAATTCAACTGACATTCAGTGTGTATTGTTATGTTGATGCTATCGAACTGTAATCCATTGGTATTATTATTATTGATTCGATGTTATTTAAACAGCAACATTAATGTTGTTGTTCATAACACTAATTCATTCCTTCACTATAATGGATGGATATATAACTGTAGAGCCTGATGATGATGAAAGGGTTATCGAAAAGAGTATTTACTCTTTGTTCAGTATCCATTCTTTAATCCTTAGGGGATAGCAAAAAACAATGACTGAAGCATACCTGCGCGACATGGCTTAAAATCACTCAAAACCTGGTTGATGTTTTCTGATGTTTTTTCTTATCATCTTCAAACCACTGAAGATCTAAAATACAGCTAACAATTTATTTAGGATAGTAGGCTATATGCCTGTGTTAAGCCTTTCGATTTGTTGCACACAGGAGGTCCAATCTCGCCTTGAATGAATCAACGGATGACGCTGATACGACGTGTTCCAGTAGGGAGTTCCAATGGTTCACAATTCGATGCGAAAAACGGATCTCCAAACGCAGACGATTCGACCATGGTTTTTGAACCTTGAGGTGATGTCCTCGCAATTGGTTGGTGCTAGAAGGAAGAAATAAATTAGGTAAATTTGCTCCAAAATCATTTCTTAGGATACGGTATGCTAGTATTAGGTCACCCCTAAGTCGTCTGTATCATAGTGGAAATAAACCCAGTCGACTTAACCTCTCTTCATATGAGAGGGTTGAGAAACATTTTATTAGCTTAGTTCCTACTCTTTGCATCCTTTCTAATAAGTCTGTTTCGTATTTGAAACACGGGCTCGCTGCCTGGATCCCATATTCCAAATGAGGTCTGATATAAGTCGGATATAATATACGAAATATATCAGCGTCAAAGTTCTCAAAAGCCTTGCGTATGGCCCATAATATTCGAAAACCTTTAGTGGCTGCAGCTCTACAGTTTGTTGCTGTTTTCAAGTCATGCTGCACAACCACTCCCAAGTCCTTGTACTCAGTGACCACTGGGAGAGTAATGCCATTCATTGAGTAATTGTGCACGTGACTATGAGATACATGCATAACTACACTCTTGCTTAAGTTGATCTCCAAGGCCCAGTGCTTACACCAATCACTTAACAATATTAAATCTTCCTGCAAAGCAAGTTGATCACTGTCATCGTGTAAAGCCCTCCATATCTTGATGTCATCAGCAAACAGTAAGCAGGATGACTTGACTACCGATGGAACTCCATTAACATAAATCAGGAAAAGAAGTGGGCCTAGAATTGTACCCTGAGGAACGCCACTCTTAACTGATTCCCATGTTGATAAAACTCTGTTAAGTCGTACTCTTTGTCTTCTGTCCTTTAGAAAGTCTTGAATCCAGTCGGCGACCACTTTATTGATTCCCAGACTACCTAACTTTAGTAGAAGACCTGAATGAGAAATCCTGTCAAACGCCTTGCTTAGGTCGATGAATATAGCATCCAACGGTATATTAGCATCAGCTTTCTCTGGCCAAAAGAAGGTTGGTCAAGCAGGAATGATCTGCTTTAAAACCATGTTGTTCCACAGCGAAATCTTGATTAAAATTTGCCACAACCACTTTAAGCCTATCTTTTCCTAATTTTTTCTTTTCTTTTTCATTTCTTGGTATGAAGTGTGGAAACTTGAACACACACTCCTCTGGGCGTATTCATAACTGCAATGGTGATGACATGAACTGCACTGGTTAGGCCAGTGATCAATCAGTCTGTGACTGTTGGTCTTAAATAAGGTCTAGACTACCTGGTTAAAATTTTCTAGGTTCTGGATAATATTCATATAAGTATAAACCTTGGGCACTGTGTTGTGGTAGAGTAAAACTACTCCATTATGGATAAGATTTTCTGTTTTGATGAACTGTCACTCACAGTGTGTGTGTAGTGTTATACAGAAATTAATATTAACTGATACGACCACATGCTTCGAGCACAATTTATTATTGCCACTCATAATCATCATATCAAGTCACTCACTCACTCACACAACTTTCGTCTTCCTTCATTTATATACATGAGTGGGATTGATGATTAGATATTGGAATTGCAGTTTGCCTTCTTCTCTTCGTTTTATTTTACAATCTAACCTCATGGCTAATTCTCCTTGTTCTTTTTCCGATTGAAATGTGAATTTTATTCTCCCTACTAGTGAGTTTATATGTGTGTGTCAAGAAGCTAGAGAGAGATATGTTCTGTTTTCAACACTGTGAGTGAAAGTGTCATCCACATATCTCAACCATATTTTTGCAGTAGGATTAAATGTATTTTACTCTACCACACTGCCCAAATTTTATACTTATATTATGCCTCTTATTCTTAAGTTCACTACCACTTTCGTCATTTTAATCGACCTTTATTATATGAAGTTGATTTGATAAAAGTAGGAGAAATTTATCATAAAGGGATTATTGATGCGTTTCTTCTTTTATTTGAGCTGAATATGCTCTATGTGTGTGGTTGGATTATTAAAAAAGAAAGATTTGTTATTATTTTTTTATTATTATTGATTATTGTCTAGATTTATGAAGAAGCATTTACAAGCTGAAGGTCCAGATCCTTCAGATATTGAAGCAATGAAGCTAGAGATTGCAGAATTGAAACAAAAACTTGAATTGCTGGAAACTGAAAATGCAGAGCTAAAACGAAGCTTAAATCATCATCAACAACAACAGCTGACTCCAGTAACTGGAACAAATGATGGGAATACAACGAATTAGGAACACAAAACAACAACAACAAAATAGAGAATGTATTAACCATAAGCCAAGCATTACACTTTGTAAACTTTTTATACATACAAATATATATTACATATATATATGTCCGCGAAACAAGTTCACTTTCAACAGTTTGAAAAACTTTGGGCAATGGGTGATATATGATATTCATTATCATGAAGGTTTTTTGTATTTCCCAATGAATGAAAAACAAAACGATATTGTTGCTCTTATTGACGTTTCGCTATTCAATGCTGCTGCTGCTAATAGCTTTATCAAAGCAGTATTATTAAACCAGAAGAATTTACAAAATCCACTCAGCATATATATGTAACAAAGAGTTAAGGGGTGGGTGAGAAAATAGACTTGACTGCTTAGTTCAAGTTAAAAGGAGGACATATTGAAAGTCAAAAATAACAATGAAGATGAATGACTAAACCAAATAACAGAGGTAATAGTACATCTGCCCTGGCTGCTATCAAAACAAACTTTACTAACTTGATCATCGTTCGTCAGTCTGGGGTCATTTTTCGTTGTCAAATTGGCTAATTTGTAAAGATAACAAAACCAAGTGTAGATTGTTGGATTTGATAAGTGTATAAAATTCTAAGAGCAGTGTGTGTTTACATATTGAACATGCTTATCACATTCGTGTTGATCTCGTCAATTCATGGGGTAGGGAGGTGTTGTAACCAGGTCAGATTCTGTTTTAGTCCATCATTCCTATTCAGGCAATTTTGATTCCACTTGATATGAAGTGCTTCTGATGATATTAGACGTTCTTTGTGATTTCTGAAATGCTTTTTCTGAATGATGATTTCAATATTGTCAAAATCAATTTTGTGGCCTGATTCTATAGCGTGAAGACGACTTATGGCTGGTGATTTTTCAAGCTTTTCTAGTTCAACCGGATTTCTCTGTGGTCGAAGAGATGCTCTAATAAATAATCTTAAAATTCTATTTTAAATCACGTACATCATCACAACATTCTAACAAGTTACTTATTTGGACTATTAAAAAACACTCGTCTTATTTCCCATCTTATTATTGCAGTTGATCAATAACACTCATGTTGTTATTATTTCTGAAGGTACATTATCCCGTATTACTGATTTGTATTCAAATGTCTAATCATCAATTCCACTCATGTATATAAATGAAGGAAAAAAGTTGTGCGTGTGAGTGAGTGACTTGATATGATTATGAGTGGCAATAATAAATTGTGCTCGAAGCGTGTGATCGCATCAGTTAATATTACTGTGCAACACTGTGTGACAGTTTATCAAAATAAAATCTTATCCATAATGGAGTTTTAGCAGACAGATTGATAACACAGGAATTTTCAACATGCTATTATTTGTCCCATGTAAAATTTAAAATGAATCTACAGGACTGGTCTGCACTGTCTGTTACTGTTCTGCCGGATGATAAGGTGTTGTGGAGATTTGTTTCACTCCAAGAAGTCTCATTAGTTCACGAAATAGCGTCGATTGGAATTCAGCGCCTCGGCCGGTTGTAATAGTAGTTGGTACTCCAGTGGAGAAAAACCAAAGCAACATTTCCTGCAGATATATCGTTTAGATGGCATTCGATAGCCCATCGAGTAAATCTATCGATGGCTTTCAGGATATGTGTATATCCTGTTGATGTTGGTAATGGTCCTACAATGTCTATATGAACATGTTGAAATCTCTTATCCGGTAAATCAAACGTCTTCGGTGTTGTAACAGTGTGGCGATGTACTTTTCACCATTGGCATTGGAGACATTCCTGTGCCCATCTCCGAATGTCAGAGTTCAGTTCATTCTAGGCCACACGAAACGTTCGCTGATAAGTCTGACCGTAGAACGTACTCCAGGATGAGAAAGTGAATATAAGTGTTCAAACGACGCTTTTCAGGCATGATCTGAGAGGAACAAACGAACGACTAGTCCCGGTAGATACATCACACGCAAACTATAGTTGCGTCTGATAAAGGAATAGGTACGTCCCTGAACTGTAAGGAAGAGTTTTCGCGACACTTTCAGGATAAGCAGTGAAGTGGCTGTTTTGAGGAGTTGCATCAACACTGATGAACTAAACACTGACGAAATCTTAGTTTTAATACAAAAGATACGCCCAGGAATTGGCGTGCACGTGATATTCCTTTAGCCTTAAGAGAACGTGTGTACTAGACAGCAGTTCACCCGATCCTTCTTTCCGGCTGAGACATGGCTGTTGAAGTTGGAAGATTTGAAGAGCCTAGTCATCCATCTTTCATCCTAAGGGTTTGCAGTCTTTCTCTCTGCTGTCTTAAGTGGCGTGATATGGAGGGAAATAATGAGGTTATGTGTGTAGGGTATTAAATAACGTTGCCAATGTGAGTTGACTGAGTGATAGGATCCCACACACTTTGTTATTGTTCAATTATCTTAACGACTGTTAATCTCGTATAAGTTGTATATCATCAATTCCCACACACTTTGTTATTGTTCAATTATCTTAACGACTGTTAATCTCGTATAAGTTGTATATCATCAATTCCCACACACTTTGTTATTGTTCAATTATCTTAACGACTGTTAATCTCGTATAAGTTGTATATCATCAATTCCCACACACTTTGTTATTGTTCAATTATCTTAATGACTGTTAATCTCGCATAAGTGGTATATCATCATTCCCACGCATTTTGTTATTGACTATTACGACCAATTATTTCAAATACTGTTAGCTGTCTCTATTGGTTGTAAAATTGTATAAATACCATTTCCTAAATAAGTTATTTGTCGTCGTCGTAGTTGTCGTAGTTGTTGTACTACAATACACAGTCACAGACCAGACTTTGTCTTTTGATATTTGCGTGGTTCGCTGAATCGGAAGGTACCAGAAGCAGATAGGCATATTAGTCAGGCGCAGACAGAACAAGGCAACAACGTTCCTCATCTAATTCCGACCACAGTTACAACAAATTGGCGACGCGTTTACCTCAATTCATTGCAGTTATAACAAATTGGCGACGGGGTTTTACTTTCATTCATTGCAGTTATAACAAGCAAGCGACGACGTGTTTTATTCTGTTCAGCGCATCTATAGAACATTTTTGACTGTGTTAATTACAACCCAATTACAATGTCTATCTCTCTGGACGATCTCAAATCCATCTTGCAGCAGCAGCAACTTCAGAATGAAGCAGCTCAACTAAAATTAATCGAAGCTCTCACTCAGAAGCTGTCAATTCAAGTTCCATCAACATCTCATTCAGACAAATACGAAAGCATCTCAAATTCCATCAGTGAATTCAACTACGACCCAATATCTGGTCTCGTATTTGATGCATGGTTCAATCGTTATGAAGACGTTTTTCGTATTGAATGCCACATGTTTGATGATGCTGCCAAAGTCCGATTGTTACTAAGAAAACTTGGAACTGTTGAGCACAACAGATATGTTAACTTCATTCTGCCTAAGAACCCACGTGAGTTATCATTCGATGAGACAGTCACCGTTTTATCACAAATCTTTGGTGAACAGTCATCCATGTTTAATATTCGGTATCAATGTTTTCAGTTGACAAAAATGCCTTCCGATGATTATGTTACTTACGCTGGCAAAGTGAACAAAGAATGCGAAAGGTTCAAACCACATGAAATGACATCAGATCAGTTCAAGTGTTTGATTTTTATTTGTGGGTTGAAGAACCCTGAAGATACTGACATAAGAACTCGACTTCTGTCACTCGTGGAACAAGACCCAAAAATGACTTTACAAATGGTGACAGCAGAATGCCAACGCTTAATCAACTTGAAGCACGATACTGCTATGGTGGAGTGCAAACGACAGTCGTCTGAATTTGGTTCAATTAACACAGTGAAAAGTCCTCCGATCACCGTTAAGCACACAGCACGTCAGTCTCAGAATTCAGCTAAACCTCCTTCAGTGTGCTGGCACTGTGGTTCATGGCATTTTGTCAAGTTCTGTCCTTTCAAGAAACATAAATGCCGTAATTGTCACCGTTTTGGACATAAAGAGGGTTACTGTCCACCACAGAAAAATTCTTCGGTGAAGAACAGAAGTAGTCGTTTCAAGCCGAAACAATCTCCTCGAATACAGACCATTTTCACAACTTCCAAAGTCGATTTCGCCAGCAAACGTAAGTACATTACACTACGTATTAACGGCAAATCTATTCGTCTTCAGTTGGATACGGCATCAGATATCACCTTAATTTCCCGAACTACGTGGCGCAAACTTGGGTGCCCACAGATTCTGCCGACCGAGCATGTCGCTAAGAATGCCTCTGGAGATATACTGAAACTCGTGGGTGAGATAAATTGCCAGGTTCAGTTTGGTGAGAATCAGTTCAATGGTGTATGTTACGTCACAAACTACCATGATTGGAATTTGCTTGGTCTTGACTGGTTAGACAAGCTCCATATCTTCAATGTACCGTTAAATTCAGTATGCTCTAATGTTTCGTCCTCACCAAAGAACGTTGTTCCCGGACATGTATCTGGTCAGTCTCTCGTGCAACGCATGCGTGCTTATGCAAAACCGAAGGGGGAGGGAACAACAGAAGAAATTTTGGATCGGTTCTTGCTGCATTATCGTACGACGCCAAATCATTCATCCCCAAATCAGTATTCCCCAGCAGATACATTAAATCTTCCGCAGCCGGAAGCCCGGGACGCAGATCACAACCCTATCCAGTACCACGCGAAGGTCAACTCGACAAAGAAGAGCTCCAAAACCATTTCAAATAGATCAAAAAAGCAAGTCCTACACTTTTAACGGGGGGAGGTGATAGGATCCCACACACTTTGTTATTGTTCAATTATCTTAACGACTGTTAGTCTCGTATAAGTTGTATATCATCAATTCCCACACACTTTGTTATTGTTCAATTATCTTAATGACTGTTAATCTCGCATAAGTGGTATATCATCATTCCCACGCATTTTGTTATTGACTATTACGACCAATTATTTCAAATACTGTTAGCTGTCTCTATTGGTTGTAAAATTGTATAAATACCATTTCCT